TGAACACAATGTTTAGAAATCAGTATCTGAGTCCTTGGTATGTTCACTGCTATTGGAGTGTCATTGTTTCTAGCTCATCAGGTAGATCTAAAAAGTTACCTATTTCTTTCTTTTTTTTTTTGAGACGGAGTTTCGCTCTTGTTACCCAGGCTGGAGTGCAATGGCGCGATCTCGGAGTAGCTGGGATTACAGGCACGCGCCACCATGCCCAGCTAATTTTTTTTGTATTTTTAGTAGAGACGGGGTTTCACCATGTTGACCAGGTTGGTCTTGATCTGTTGACCTCGTGATCCACCCGCCTCAGCCTCCCAAAGTGCTGGGATTACAGGCTTGAGCCACCGCACCCGGCTTTTTTTTTTTTTTTGAGACGGAGTCTCACTCTGTTGCCAGGTGCCAGGCTGGAGTGGCTCACTGCAACCTCCACCTCCCGGGTTCAAGCAATTCTCCTGCCTCAACCTCCCAAGTAGCTGGTACGACAGGCACGCACCACCACGTTCAGCTAATTTTTGTATTTTTAGTAGAGACGGGGTTTCACCATGTTGGCCAGGATCGTCTCGATCTCTTGACCTTGTGATCCGCCCGCCTCAGCCTCCCAAAGTGCTGGGATTATAGGCGTGTGCCACCACGCCCGGCCTGAAAGTTACCTATTTCTATATTTACTTATTCATATAAAAACCATGAGTTCTTACTGATTCTTCCAACTATAATCCCACTCCACAGGGTTCGTTCCAGCTTCTCCCTTTTCATATTTGCTATTCCTCTTTCTAACAATGTGAAGCCACAACTGATTTCCGGTTGACCCTTTAACAACACAGGGATTAGAGGACCCATGCAGTTAAAAATTCACATATAACTTTTGACTCCCTCAAAACTTCACTCATAGCCTACTGTTGACCAGAAGCTTTACCAGTAACATAGTCAGTTAGCACATATTTTATATATGCATTATAAACTGAACCTTTATAATAAAGTAAGCTAGAGAAAAGAAAATATAATTAAAAGCATAAAGAGGAGAAAATACACTTACTATATTTTAAGTGGAAGTGGATCATCATAATGGTCTTCATCGTTATCATCTTCATGTTGAGTAGGCTGAGGAGGAAAAACGAAGAGAGGTAGGTCTTGTTGTTTCAAGGGTGGCAGGGGCTGAAGAAAATAAGCACATAAGTGGATCCAGGCAGTCGGATCCCATTATGGGATCCAAACAACCCATGGTGTTCAAGGCTCAACTGTGCTTCAAATTCTCAATCGAATAATTTGAAATATTTGGATTGTCTGTTTTCTAGTTCTGGTGGTGGCATGGATTTTATTTGTTCTTCTTGTTGAATTATACATATATTTTTTGGAGTATGTCCTAGGAAATTTGGATTGGCATGACTGTCACTACTACAGCTACCTCGGAAATGAGAGTAATTTTTTAACACTTGAAGTGAAATACATAGTGTTACAAAAGAAACCTACTGTATTGAAATACATCTAAAATATCTAAGTTTATTTTATTATCATACTACTAATTTTGAAGTAGTAATCAGCATTAATCATACTTTGAGATAACTCCAACAAATGTAGTGTAACACAAAAATATTTTCTTTCTCTATTAGGAACAAAATCACAGGCGATACAAATACTACCAGAATTTGTTGTTTCTTTGATAATTGAAGATTGCCCTAAACTTCAGTTAGTTTTGGAAAAAAAAAAAAAAAAAAAAGATGGGATCTTTTTCCTATACAAATGGAGAAATCCCTGAATTCTATCCACAGACCCTCTCAAAGCTCTGATGGCATCCCTTTGCCTGAGATGCTTTCATAGATGCCTAAGCCATCCATCTAACTGAATTAAATCCCTTTGGGGCTGGTAACCCAGTTTCATGCACAAGAACAGAACATATCCTCCTTGTGGCTTCCCTTCCCCTATTCTCTCATCTACTTTCCTTCCGGGACCTTGAGTCAGTTACTATACTGTGACAGAGGAGGCCGTGAGGGGAGATGACCCTGTAGCCACAACTTCAGACGTCAGATGTTGCTTTTGGTCAATGGACTGTTATCCCAGCCTCTCAACAAGCATGGGCAAGCTGTTAAGTGTTGACTTTATCAGCTCAGCTTGTCAGCTTGGACATTTCTCAGCCCAGCCGAGAGTGGAGCACTCCAGTCCCCAGCACCCCTCATCTGTCTCATATAGTGGAATAGCAAGCCAGTCCCAGCGACCTTGGCAAATCACTTTGTTGCTTTGAGCCGGTTTCTCAGGCAAAGAATATGCCCTTTCTAACTCAAAGCACTGTTGAGAGGACAGAACAAGACTTGCGTGTGAAAGTGCAGCATACAGTGCCTTACTAAAGTATGCCGTTATTTTACTGTTACTCCCTCATGCATGCCCCTGGAAAAAATGACAAAAACTTCCAACTCTCTGCCCTAGAGAACATAAAACCCCACAGATATTTGTCTTCTTCAAATAATTCCCCTAGGAGTTTGGATTGCAATGAAAGCTACAGAATCTATTCAGAAAATATATTAAACATTTAGCCATTCGGTGATTATTTACTGAAGCTAGATTCAAGCAAAACCCTATACTAGTTGAATTCATAAATATAAAATTGCCTTAAAAGGTTTAAATATGTAATTTTGCACTTCCCCTCCCATAATTACACATTTGGACATTGACTTGTGACAATTCATAACTCCTACACAGAAAAGAGTTGGAAAAACTATACCAAGTTATTAAGCTATAGTAGTTTAAAAACTTGACTATTTTAGAAATAGTCATAGTACACCACAACAATCAAGTAGGTTTTCCAAACTTAACATATTTTAATGTTTCCCTGAGGTAATTTTTATCCACTGATAATTCTTTTTTTTTTTTTTTTGAGACAGAGTCTCACACTATGCTGGGGCTGGAGTGCAATAGGATGATCTCAGCTCACGCAACCTCTGCCTCCCAAGTTCAAGTGATTCTCCTGCCTCAGTCTCCCAAGTAGCTGGGATAACAGGCACATGCCACCACCCCCAGCTACTTTTTTGTATGTTTAGTAGAGAGGGGGTTTCACTATGTTGGCCAGACTGTTCTAGAACTCCTGACTTCATAATCCACCTGCCTCAGTCTCCCAAAGTGCTGAGATTACAGGCATGAGCCACCGTGCCTGGCTGAAATAACAATTTTATCCTTTTTTTTTCCCTTTGGTTGTAGATCTTCTGGGGAAAGAAAGATAAAAGCAGAGCTCAAAAATTTCTTGAGACATGAAGAAGACATTACATTGAATTTTTAAAAATCTGAAATAGTCTGTTTCTCATATAGCAGTAGAAATAAATTGTGTGTGTGTGTGTGCACGCGCATGTGCGCGTCTGTATGCATGGTGTTTAAAATTCTGTATGTTTATATTTCTTGATATAGAAAGAAAAATTTACATATACAGAAAAAATGGGGAAAATGCCCAAAAATATTGAGTTAAGTGTTACAATCATTACTATCTTCTTTTTTCCTATGTTTTTTCTTGAGCATAAATTACTTTTACAAACATTTTTTAAAATATTTCAAAGGAAAAATCAGAAAATAACTGTAAGAAAATATAAGTCCAAAGTCGACAAACTTACTTGGCCTAGAAGTTCCTTATTGAACACAGTGTTCAGGAACAGCTATGATTCCAAAAGCATCCGCAAGATTGAACTTTAACTCAGGGCCTACCGATTGTTCTCTGTGAGGCACTCAAAGCCCCTCTTGATCTAAGGGTCGGTCAAGAATAAGGTCAATGATGGTGCATGGACACAGGAGGGAGCTTTTTGGGTCGCAGAGGAAGAAAATAAAGTCTTTCCCACATGTGATGCTCTCTTTAGCCCTTCTCCCTTCCACAGGCTAAGAGAGCCAATTCAGACCTGCCCCTTTGTGGTGAGAGAGCTGATGATCTCATTCTCTTGGGCTGCCCCATGGCTATGAGTGTGGAGGGCTGGGCCCATAGTACTCAGACCTGAGGCAGCCAACCATACAGCCTTGGCACCCAGGCATAGCCCTCAGGTTCTTGTTCACTTCCTCTCTCTGAATGGCTTGCTGTTCCCCAGCACCAGAACCCCATGGTAACATATGCTGAGAGGAAATGCAGATGCAGACTTCTGAGGAAAAGGGAAAGAAAGCCCTCTACCTGCTTGATTTTAGGCCCTAGGCTACCTCTAACCCTGACAAAATTAATTATCCAAGTAGTTCTACTGCATATATGGTTAAAGCTTCAGTTTTACAGCATAAATTTGCTTTACTTTATCCTCTGTCCACGTGATTTTTTTCCCACAGGAGACAGGAGTTCAGAGAAGACAGAATTTGAGGTTATGGAAGTCTGGTTTGGGACATGGTGCATTGCCAGCATTTCTCTCTCAATTGCTTCCCATGTATCTGACCCTTTCTTGGTGAACTCATTTGTTGCCTCCCACGTTAATACTCCTCTGCATTGGGTTGTAACGATCTCAGAATTGGGTTGAAGATTGACATTAACCCATTTAAAATATGAAAATGGAAATCAAGTTGGGGATATCTTCTTAGTGGCAATACCAAAATGCTGTTCTTCTCCTGACAATTTGAAGATAACTGGGAATATGACAGAACAATTAAAATTGAATTATTCATTCTAATAGATTTTAAGCCCATTCTAGCAAGAGGTAAGATTTATGAACTAGTAAGAGGTAAGAGTTTACTATGAGTATGTCTTTCTGACTCCAACACTCCACACAGCTCCAGTTGGTCATGTCAACTCAATGGCTCATGTCAATTGCCGTGGCCCTCCTCCTCCCTCTCTTCTGTTTAATTTTTCCAAATAGCACTTGGTTAGTTTTTGCATTACTTTAGACAAGCAATTGATCATTTAGATGGCCATCTTCCCAACAAACAATCAAATAAGAGTTATTGTTTCTTTAACTTTCTAATTATTCACACAAATGCATTAAAATATGTCAAATTCATCAGTCCTTGGTTATAATGCCTTGGTGGTTCTAATTTCAATTTTCTTTTTCACTTTGAACACTCAGGACACCATCTTCTTTTATATACAAGAAAGGAGTGTCACACACAGGGGAAAAAATGCTCTTTTGGGTATTAGGCCTCCTAATCCTCTGTGTTTTTCTGTGGACTTGTAAAGGAAACCTAAAGATTGCAGACATCACTGATAAGTACATTTTTATCACTGGATGTGACTCGGGCTTTGGAAATTTGGCAGCCAAAACTTTTGATAAAAAGGGATTTCATGTAATCGCTGCCTGTCTGACTGAATCAGGATCAACAGCTTTAAAGGCAGAAACCTCAGACAGACTTCATACCGTGCTTCTGGATGTGACCAACCCAGAGAATGTCAAGAGGACTGCCCAGTGGGTGAAGGACAAAGTCGGGGAAAAAGGTGAGAGATGGAAGTGGGGAGGATGGAACCGAGATAGGAGGTAACAAAAGCTAAATAAAATGTACTCAGGTTTTAAATGGCCTTTCAAGAAAGTGTCTCCAAAATAACAGCTATATACTTCTCTAATCTTAGGATAGCTTCTGAGTAGTCCCAAGTACAGGCTGTCTGTGTGCATGAGAAACACAGCCCAGAAGACCCTCGGGCCTAAGTCTCAGGTGAATTTAGAGCTGAGATGAAAGTATTGACTTTTCATGGTCTTCTCCTGGGAAGTGCTATTCCCTGCCCCCACCCTGACCCTACATACAGCAAAGGAATGTAGGCTAAAATTTACAGGAGAATACGGGGGCGATTCCCAAATTGCTATCTGGATACCTGGGACCCACTTCTCACTACAGAATGATTCTAGAGCTCACATATTTTCAATGAACAAGGTTGAAAATGGCCTGATAATTTGCATATGAGTGTCTCAAGTAATTAAGGTAGAGTAGTGAGCCGTTAAATGTTTATTCCGCAATAGATTCTGCTATTATGACTACATTCTGAACTAGAACAATTTTAATTGGCTTTGAATGAAGTTTGAAATATTCTCATGAATAAGATGTTGGAATCCACAAAGGAAAAAACAGATGTCTGGTATTTTTTCTAGTACATCTTGGTCATATAGCTGAGACTCTGAAGTTCAAAGGCAATGATTTGACAAGCCTTCGATTTTTAACACTTGAATTCCAACACCTTTAACAATACTGTTTCCCATTTTAAATAACCCAAGCAAATGACTGAATTCTTAACCAAAAATAAGTGTGGAGTAGATTGATATCACTCTTTGTCCATGCAGAACATTATATAAATATACTCTGGCCTTATCGTCTAGCAAGGCAGGAAAAATAGATCAATTTACTCTACATCTGAGATTAAAAAGCAGAAAGATGGGCAGGGCTTGGTGGCTCACGCCTGTAATCCCAGCACTTTGGGAGGCCGAGGCGGGTGGATCACGAGGTCAAGAGATCGAGACCATCCTGGTCAACATGGTGAAACCCCATCTCTACTAAAACTACAAAAAATTAGCTGGACATGGTGGCGTGTGCCTGTAGTCCCAGCTACTCAGGAGGCTGAGGCAGGAGAATTGCCTGAACCCAGGAGGCGGAGCTTGCAGTGAGCCGAGATCGCGCCATTGCACTCCAGCCTGGGTAACAAGAGCAAACTCTGTCTAGAAAAAAGAAAAAAAAAAAAAGCAGAAAGACTCACTAACAGAGTTTCAGTATTTGACATTCAGAACCAGAAATAGAGTAACAGTGAGAACTTCAACTATTTCAATTCAGCCTCCCACCCTCTCTGCTATCACTTCCCAAAACTGCGAAGTATTTCAGAGTAGGAAAATGACTTCAAGGAGGAAATGGCACCATTGTGCAAAGCAGGGGCTGTATTTTCATCAAAGGTGACAAATAAGTACTATCTTACCACACTTCTTTTCCTTCCTCTCTGTTCTAGGTCTCTGGGGTCTGATCAATAATGCTGGTGTTCCTGGTGTGCTGGCTCCCACTGACTGGCTGACACTAGAAGACTACAGAGAACCTGTTGAAGTGAACCTGTTTGGACTCATCAGTGTGACACTAAATATGCTTCCCTTGGTCAAGAAAGCTCAAGGGAGAGTTATTAATGTCTCCAGCGTTGGAGGTCGCCTTGCAATAGTTGGAGGGGGCTATACGCCATCCAAATATGCAGTGGAAGGTTTCAATGACAGCTTAAGGTAAATCAGATTAATTGACACATTAGGAAATAATAGCTGCAAACATTTACTGAATACTTACTATGTACAAGACATCTTATTTAGTACCTTTTAAAAAGTCTATCATATTTATCTAACTTTTGTGAGTACATAGTGTGTGTGTGTGTGTGTGTGTGTGTGTGTGTGTGTGTATATGGTTATCGGAGATGTTTTGATATAAGCATACAATGCATAGTAAACACATCAAGGTAAATGGAGTATCCATCATCCCAAGCATGTATCCTTTCTTTGTGTTACAAACAATCCAATTACACTCTTTTAGTTATTTTTAAATGTACGATAAATTGTTATTGACTGTAGTCACGCTGTTGTGCTATCAAATACTAGATCTTATTCATTCTATCTAGCTATATTTCTATATTTCTGTACACACTAACCATTCCCTGTCACCCCCACTACCCTCTCAAGCCTCTAGTAACCATCTCTCAAAGGTCTGTCTCCATGAGTTTGTTTTCATTTTTAGCTCTCACAAATAGGTGAGAACACGTGAACTTCGTTTTTCTGTACCTGGCTTATTTTACTTAACATAAGGACCTTCAGTTCCATCCATGTTGTTGCAAATGATAGAATCTCATTGTTTTTTTATGGCAGAATAGTACTCCATTGCATATATGTACCACATTTTCTTTATCCATTTGTCTGTTGATGGACATTTAAGTTGCTTCCAAATTTTAGCTATTGTGAACAGTGCTACAACAAACACGATAGTGTATATATCTCTTTGATATATTTATTTCCCTTCTTTGGAGTATATATCCAGCAGTGGAATTGCTGGATCAGATGGTAGCTCAATGTTCAGTTTTTTGAGGAACTTCCAAACTGTTTTCCATAGTGGTTGTACTAATTTACATTCCTACCAACAGTGCACGAGGGTTCCCTTTTCTCACATCATCACCAGCATTTGTTAGTGCCTGTCTTTTGGATATATGCCATTTTAACTGGGGTGAGATAATACCTCATTGAACTTTTGATTTCCATTTTTCTGATGATCAGTGATGTTGAGCACCTTCCATATACCTTTGCTCCACTTGTATATCTTCTTTTCAGAAGCATCTACTTAGATCTTTTCCCCATTTTTAAATTGGATTATTAGACCTTTCCCCATAGAGTTGTCTGAGTTCCTTATATATTCTAATTTTTAATCCCTCTTCATGTGAGTAGCTTTCAAATATTTTTTCCCATTCCGTGGGTTGTTTTTTCACTTTTTTAATTGTTCCCTTTGCTGTGCAGAACCTTTTAAAATTGATGTGATCCCATTTGTCCATTTTTGCTTTAGTTGCCTGTGCTTGTGGCCTGTTAAGAAATCCTGACCCAGCCAATTGTCCTGGAGAGTTTTTCCAATGTTTTCTTGCAGTAGTTTCATAGTTTGAGGCCTTAGATTGAAGTCTTTAATCCATTTTATATGATTTTTGTATATAGTAAGAGATAAGGGTCTGGTTTCATTCTCCTGCATGTGGACATCCAGTTTCCCCAGCCCCACTTATTGAAAAGACTGTTCTTTCCCCAATGTATGTTCTTGACACCTTTGTCAAAAATCAATTCACTGTAAATGTATGGATTTGTTTCTGGGTTCTCTGTTCTGTTCCATTGGTCTATGTGTCCATTTTTATGCCAGTGCCATGCTGTTTTGTTTACTATAGCTTTATAGAAAATTTGAAGTCATGTATTGCAATTCTACCAGTTTTGTTGTTTTTGTTCAGGGTGGCTTTGGCTACTCTAGGTCTTTTGTGTTTCTATATAAATTTTAGGATTGTTTTTCTATTCCTGTAAAGAATGTCATTGGTATTTTGATAGGAATTGCATTGAATCCATAGATTGCTTTAGATACTACGAACATTTTAATAATACTGATTCTTCCAATCCATGAACACAGAATATCTTTCCATATTTTTGTGTCCTCTTCAATTTCTTTTATCAATGTTTTATTGTTTTTATTGCAGAGATCTCTCATTTCTTTGGTTAATTCCTAGGCATTTTATTTTATGTTTAGCGATCGTAAATGGAATTACTTTCTTGATTTCTTTTCTGGTGTTGTTTGCTGTTGTCATATAGAAATGCTACTGATTAAGGCCAGGCACGGTGGCTCAAGCCTGTAATCCCAGCACTTTGGGAGGCCGAGGCGGGTGGATCACAAGGTCAAGAGATCGAGACCATCCTGGTCAACATAGTGAAACCCCGTCTCTACTAAAAATACAAAAAATTAGCTGGGCATGGTGGCACGTGCCTGTAATCCCAGCTACTCAGGAGGCTGAGGCAGGAGAATTGCCCGAACCCAGGAGGCGGAGGTTGCGGTGAGCCGAGATCGCGCCATTGCACTCCAGCCTGGGTAACAAGAGTAAAACTCCGTCTCAAAAAAAAAAAAAAAAAGAAAGAAATGCTACTGATTTTGTATCCTGCAACTTTACTGAATTTATTTGTTCTAATAGTTTTTTATGTGTGTGGAGTCTTTAGGTTTTTCCAAATATAAGATCATATCATCTGCAAACAATGATAATTTGACTTCTTCCTTTCCAGTTTGGGTTGGAGTTCCATTGTATGTTATCTGTTTTTGAGGAATCTCCAAAACAAATCTTACTGCTTTTAAGATCCTTTCTTTATCCTTGACCTTTGGGAGCTTGATTAATAAATACCTTGAGGCAGTCTTCTTTAGGTTAATTCTGCTTAGTGTTTTATAACTTTCTTGTACTTGAATATTGATGTCTTCATCTAGGTTTGGAAAGTTCTCTGTTGATTAAACTTCCTACCCCATCTCTCTCTCTGTACCTCCTCTATAAAGCCAATAACTCTTAGATTTGCCCTTTTGAAGCTATTTTTTAGATTCTGTAGTTATGCTTCATTCTTTTTTTTTTCTTTTGTCTCCTCTGACTGTGTATTTTCAAATAGCCTGTCTTCAAGCTTACTGATTTTTTTCTTTTGCTTTATCAGTTCTGCTGGTAAGGGGCTGACATATTCTTTAGTATGTGAATTGCATTTTTCAACTCCAGTATTTCTGCTGATTCTCTTTAATTATTTCAGTCTATTTGTCAAATTTATCTGATAGGATTCTGAATTCCTTCTTTGTGTTGTCTTGAATTTCATTGAGTTTCCTCAAAGCAGCTATTTTTAATTCTCTGTCTGAAAGGTCTCATGTCTCTGTCTCTCCAGGATTGGTCTCTTGTGTCTATTTAGTTCATTCAGTGAAGTCATATTTTTCTGAGTGGTCTTGATACTTGTAGATTTTTTTTTTTAATGTCTGTGCATTGAAGAGTTATTCTGGGCTTGTTGGTACCCATCCTTCTAGGGAAGGCTTTCCAGGAATTTGAAGGGACTTGGGTGTTGTGATTTAACTTTTTGGTTCCTGCAGCCATATATCTTCCTTAGGGGACACCCCAAGGCCAGTAAGACTGTGCCTCTTGCAGGCTCACAGTGGTACCACCTTAGTAGTCTTGGATAAGATCTGGAAGAATTATCTGGTTTACCAGGCAGAGACTCTTGTTCTCTTCCCTTACTTTCTCCCAAACAAGTAGAGCTTCTGTCCATATCCCAAGCTGCCTAAAGCTGGTGGAAGAGTGACACAAGCTCCCCTGACCACCATCATTGGGACTGCACTGGGTCAGACCCAAGGCCCTCTATAACATTGCCTGGCTACTGCCTATGTTCACTCAAAGCCGTGAGGCTCTACAATTAGCAGGTGGTGAAATGAGGTTTGTGTTCTTCCCTTCAGGGTGACAAGTTCCCCCTACCCCTGGGTGGGGTACCCACAGATGCCAACTGGAAGCCAGGGCCTGGAATCAGAAACCTTAGGACTCTGCCTGTATTCTCCTGTGCTGTATTCTACTGTGGTTGAGTCAGCATCCAAACCACAATACAAAGTCCTTCCCTCTCTTCCCTCTCCTTTTCTGAAGCACAAGGAGTCTCCCCCTATGGTCACCACAGCTGGGAATGTCCTAGGTTGCACCTGAAGCCAGCATGTCTCTGAGTCTCACCGAAGGCCCATTGTGAGTATCTTGGGTATTGCTCCTACTTTTTCAGGACCCAAGGGATCTTTAGCCAGCAAGTAATGAATTTTTCTAGGACTAGTTTCTTTCCTTCAAGGCAGTGGGTTTCCTTCTGGCCCAGGACTAGTCTAGAGGTAGGGCCTGGAATAGGGGCCTCAGGACTCCACCTGGTGCCCTATCCCACTGTGGCTAAGCTGGTATCCAAGTCCCAAGACAAAGTCTTCTTTATTCTCCCCTCACCTCTCCTCAAGCAGAGGGAGGAAGTCTCTCCCAGAGCTGTGAGCTGTGCTGTCTGGGGTTGGAGGAGAGGTGGCACAAGCACTCCCTTGGCTGCCCAAGCTGGCATCTTGCTAGGTTGCTTGCCCCCCAGATCCACTGTCTCTGAGACCAGCACAGCACCAGGACTTCCCCAGGAATTGCGGTCCTTGGGACCTGGACTGCATTCCAAGTTTATTTAGAACCCCAGAGCACATGAGCCCACAGTGGTGAGGCTTGCTGGCATTCAGGTTCCATCTGCTGAAGTGGGCAATTCCTCCTCTGGCTAGGGCTGGTGTGAATGCTCCCTCCATGGGTGCTGACTGAGTTCTGCCTGGTGTTGCTTTCCACCGTGACAGGGAAGCACTGAGTTCCAATGCAAAGTCCCACAATCCCTGTGCTCTCCCTCCCACCCCAAGTACGCAGATTCTGGCTCCATGCCACACACAGACGGTCAGTGCTGGTCTATGAAGGAGGAGTAACATCAACAATTCAAGACTCTCTTTCTGGCCCTCTTCAGGGCCTGTCTCAGTGATATGAAGTTAAAGTTAGGTACTGTGATCACTCTTCTGAGTTTTGGTTTTATGAAGTTTCTTTGTGGGGTTTTTTAATTTGGTGTTTCTGTGGGGAGGATGATCAGTGAAGGCTTCTATTTGTTCATCCTGCTCTATTTTAAGTTATTTACAATGTATAGATAATGCCACTAAAACTAAAAGAGATTAATTAACTTGCACAAGGTCACCCAGCTGGTAAGTGGTGGAACCAAGATTTGAACCCAAATATAACTCCTTTTTACTTTTTGCCTTAATACATGATGCTTAGAGTGGCAGTGAATTTATATTCAACTGATCAGTTTGTCAAATAGTTAGGGACTCGGCCGGGTGTAGTGGGTCACGCCTGTAATCCAAGCACTTTGGAGGCCAAGGCGAGCGGATTGCCTGAGGTTGGGAGTTCAAGACCAGCCTAACCTGAGGCAGGAGAATTGCCTGAACCCAGGAGGTGGGGGTTGCGGTGAGCCAAGATCGTGCCGTTGCACTCCAGCCTGGGTAACAAAAGCGGAACTCCGTCTCAGGAAAAAAAAAAAAAAAAGACCAACCTAACCAACATGGTGAAACCACGTCTTTAAAACAAACAAAAAAAATAGTTAGGGACTCATACAGAGAGGCTAGATCAGAAGAGGCTTCTCTGTTGGTTTACCATCAGTTGCAAACACAACAGTACCATCCTATTTAAACCTTCAGTGACAAACCACCAGTTCTTAAATAGCTTCTCCATGCATGCTGTCCAGGCTTTATAGCTTCATTCCATGGAGGAGACTGGGGGAAGTATGCTTAATCCATCTTACCTGGAACCAGAACTTATCACCACCAGTTCAAATTCCCTCAAGTACAAGTACTTTTTCAGTCAAGACTCTGGCAGGAAATGGTGGCACATTAAAATTGGGTAAAAGGCACAGAGTTTGTTAAAAGACTATTTATAAACGTTTGTGCGGTATCTACCAAAATCCCAAAGGATAGTATCTAGAGAATAATGACAGTAGGGGCATTTCTCTTCAGAGGACTGAAGGGACAAAGAGATAAGGCAGTTTCCAGAACCTGGAGACACAGAGGCTGTCGTCTTCAGTCACGAGATCAAATAACCAGTGTTGACACCACAGGAGGGTAACTAATCTGACCTCCTCACCTCTTTTCTGATCTCCCACTGGCACTTTCAATAGACTGAACTCGACAGAAGCCAGAGTCTAGTTAGTGCAGGCAAGCCTCCCAGGATATGTGCAGAGGGTGGAGGAAAGGACTGGAGAAGCACATGGAAGATATTCAGTTGAGTGGTGCTACCACAGGCAAGTGAGAAGACAAAGTTAGGTATATATAGGTATATATGAATCTTTCCTTCAATTCATCCATTTATTTATTCAACTATTATTTGTTGAAGGCATAGTTAAGAGTTTATGATCTATACCATGGACCTAGGTTTAGTTTACTAATAAAAGGTTAAAAATATTCCACTGAAATTGATCAAGATAGAGCAACTCCATTTTCCCATTTGATCAGGTTGCCAAGTTTGATTCTCCTAGGAAATAAACACAATAATGTTGGAATAACTCTTCCAAAAAATTAATGTGCATTTGAATCACCTGGGGATCTTTTTAAAATGCAGACTTTGATTAAGTGGATCTGAAGAGGGGCCTGAGACTCTGCATTTCTAACAAGCTCCAGGCTCTGCCCATGGTTCAGGCATCACACTTTGAGTAGCAAGGTCATGAAGTCTTTTTCACTGACCTTTAGTCATTAGTCTCTTTCATTGACCTTTGGTTCCACTCTACAAGCAGCAATAGCATAATAAAATTTTAGTATATGTACCTAGAGATTGACTCACTTTTAAAAAAGATTTCAACTGAAGGATTTGTGAGGTTTGCCATGCAGCTATGCCATGCCGAAAAGTAATAAATTAAGAGTTGTTTTTTTTTCTTAAATGAATCATGGGACTAGCATTTTAAATGGTGTTAAGTAGGTAGGCCACAATCCAGCAGCAACTCCACAATTTCGATATGTCAGGGGTTTAGGGACAGCTGTCCATCTGAGAGAGGACTGGGCTCTTTAAAGCTGCATTTTCCCAGCATGCACGCTGATTTCACATGGTTTTTACTTACCTAGTAAGCTTGGTTGGAGGCTTAAAGCCACTTGTCCCTAGTACGTTATTTTCATGAGTGGGTGGGGAGAAAAGGCTTCCTGAAGCTTCTTGGCACTGCTACTTCCACCATCTAAAGGAAATCAGACAACAGGTGAATAAAACATAAGTTAAGTTGGGAAATAATCTTTTTAAACTTTAGTACAAGTCATATACTTTTCAGAATCTTTCAAGGTCAAATTAACTTGAATTTTTGGTAAAATATATTTCAAACTTTACAATAGTAATGTTGCTAGAAAGCAGAACCTGAGAGAAAATAAATTACAAGTTCACTGACAGAGCTTTTAAAAATCCTATGAAGAGTTCTATGAAATGAATATATACTTCCTTTCATTATATATTCCTGGGAGAAACAGAAATCAAATTTTGGAAATGACTGTTCATACACTAGTTTTTTATACAGGTGGTCCCTGACTTCCAATGTTAAAAGTGACTCTTCGACTTTACAATGGTGTGAAAGTGAGATGCATGCATTATAAAATTTTCTTAGAATTTGGAATTTTATCTTTTACCGGCAGCAATATGCGGTACAATACTCTCTTGCAATGCTGTGCAGTGGCAGGGAACCCCAGCTCCCAGTCAGCCACCCAGTCACAGGGTAAAGAACTGCTATCCTGCAGGGCCCTGTGTGTCCAGATGATTTTGCCCCACTGTGGGTGAGTGTAAGTGAGCACGTTGAACACAGGATAGGCTAAGCTGCGATGTTCGGCAGGTTAGGGATATTAAATGCATTTTTGATTTAGGATATTTTCAACTTACAATGAGTTTATCAAGATATGACCCCATCTGAAATCAAGGAGCATCTGCATATTGGTTTGCTTTAAAAAAAAGGGGGGCACTATGATTCCTGTAAAATCTTGATACCTAGGGAATGAGTAGGCTTTTGGTTTTCTGCAGCAGCACGATTTAAAAAAATAAAAATAAAAAAGCTTGCTCCACAGCATAGGGAGCAGGTTAGTCATGTCAGGGATTATCGTACTGTGTCCTTCAGCATGTCCTCGTTTGTGCTGCAATCTCCTTATGTTCCTAGAATGGAGGTAAACTTGTCCATCCAGGCTATCATTAGCTCATTTCACCATAAGGTGGTTTAAGTACTGGTAAGAAACCTGTCCTTACCCTGAATGCTCACTAAGTTAAAGATGAGAGCATGGAGAACACTCTAGGAAAAACAACAGTGGACTGGGGGTGGGTCCGCCCAGATCCCTTTCAGTCCTGCTGTTAACTAGCCCTCACTTCACCACTCTCAACCTGTTTCCTCACTTGCAAAATGAGAGGGAGAATGAGAAACTTCTTTCCAATGCACCCAAATCCGTGATTCCATGAAAAGATTCATGAGAAAATCGTCACCCAAATAGCAAGTATTTTCTAAACAAACCTGGATTAAACAGCTTCAATGGGTTCTTTTCACAGACGGGACATGAAAGCTTTTGGTGTGCACGTCTCATGCATTGAACCAGGATTATTCAAAACAAACTTGGCAGATCCAGTAAAGACACTTGAAAAAAAACTCGCCATTTGGGAGCAACTGTCTCCAGACATCAAACGACAATATGGAGAAGGTTACATTGAAAAAAGTGAGTTTCTGGGCCGTGCCAGAGTGCTCTGGAATTCTTTGTCCTGCACAGCATGAAGGAGATTCAAATACAGACACAGTAACAAGGTTCTCAGAATAGTACACCCGTAAGGATCTTAAGTATGGATCAGGGATATCCTATTAATTTCAGTGCCATCTCTTGCTTCTCTTTATAAACATTTACTGAGCAATTACATACTGCCAAGTTATATGCTAAGTACCTTATGAATTATATCATTTACTCCTCAAAAACTATTAGAATAATGAGCAGAGGCTTGGAAAAGTGAAATGTCCTGTCCAAGATTACACAACACCTCCTCCTCATACCTGGACCTGAGCCCAGGCAGGCGACTCGAGCCCACGTCTTCCCCTCTGCCATACCTCCTCACCAGCTGTACACTTGGCATTGTGTAAGGATTTATGGTGGTTACAAAACACAGAGAAGGTTCAGCCTCTGACCCTTAACTAGTTTACAATCTCATTCACAACAAGTAGTAACCAAGCGAGCATGTAAAACAATGAGGCAATGCAGCACACAATAAAACTGATCCTTTACTTCTCGGTGTAATCCAATAGCCCGGAAGTGGAGCTAGATGTTGTGGTTTCTAATTGCCCAGGGAATTCAGACCAGGAAAAGAGCACTGCTGGTTAAGAAGACGTAATGGGGTAGGTCAGGTTTGAATAAGACCTAAAGGACAGGAAAGAATTATTTGAGTGGAAACTCTCTGGAGCAGAAACACATGGAGGAAGAGATGGAAAAACAGGTAACATAGTCAAGAGATTGAGTAAAAGATGGGAGAATAATACTAAAGTTGACAAAGTGGTGGCTAACAAAAAGTAAATATTTCATAAGTACTTGTCACCATTCTAAGTGCATTACATGGATGCACATTTAAAGTCCGTAAATAAGCTCTATTATCACCTTCATTTTATAGAAATAGAAGCATAGAGAAGTAAGTTACCAAAATTGTACCACCAGTGGGTGGGAGAGCTAGATTTGGACCCAGGCAGCCTGACCCTGCCATTTCTGCTTGGCCATGGCGCTACAATGTGAACAAGGCATTAAGGGCTTTGGTCAGACTCCTCTTATCAGGGATTCCCTTCCACCACAAACTTCCTGGCTCAGTTAAAGTTTACTCAATATTCCTCAAATAGTTACTGAGCTCCAGCTTTGAGTTGAGCAAGGTTCAACCTAACTATGTGTAGTTCTATGACTCCAAACTGTGCTCATGCCTCTTGATCAGCCGACTTGATAAGACAGTCAACTGTGGCAAGGTTCATGGTCAGAGTTTTCAGGCAGAGCCAAAAGCCAAGTCAGACCTACCTGGAGAGGTTTTTAAAATGACTGACTCCTCTGACCACCACTACACAAACACACACACGCACACACACACACACATACACAGAGGTACACACGTTATCTATATATCAACTGAACCCGTCTGGTCTGACAAACGTCTTAGTGCTCACATGTCATTACAGGTTTAGAACCACTGCCATCAAATGCTCTACTTTTCAGTTCCTGACTCTGAAGTTTCCATCTAAGACTGAACTTAATACTTCAGAAACAAAACCCCTCATTTAAACGAGTTTTCTGTTTGATATTGACACCAATACTTTTTAAATGCCTTTGCATATATTTCCAACATCAGTCTCCAATTATTTTTGGCTTGGTTCCTGGTTCATGTGTTCTGCCTCAGAAATGCCAAAGGCATTGAGCCGAGTTTTACACTGGTTGTTACTATTACAGTTTCCAAGTCAGGACTTGGAGATCAGCCAAAGGTACAGTCCCAAAGTAGACCACAAATTTAAAGTCATCTTTTCTTAATTTCCTGAATTGAGATAGTAGAAGTTTAAAATAGCCACTAAGACTTATTAGGTTCTTTAACAACTTGTGGCCAGGGTCCTGAAGTTGAAAGAAAGATTAACATCATAAACTTTCCCTTGAGAAGACACAACTCAGTTAAGTTTTAAAAGTATGTGAGAATCATATGGTAATTTTGGGAATCTCTATGCCATTTTCCATAATGACTGTCCTAATTTACATTCCCACCAACAGGATACAGAGTTCCTTTTTCTCCACACCCTTGTCAATACTTGTTATCTTTTGTCTTTTGATAATAGACATTCTAACAAATGTGAAGTGATATCTCATTGTGGTTTTAATTTGCATTTCCCTGATGATTAGTGATGACAAACATTTTTTTTCATATACCTGTTGGCCATTTGTATCTTCTTCTGAGAAAAGTCTATCCAGATTCTCTGCCCATTTTTAAAATCAGCTTATTTCTTTTCTTGTTGTTGAGTTGTTTGAGTTTCTTATATATTTAAGACATTAACTGTGCATAAGATGTAAAGTTTGCAAATATTTTTTCCCATTCTATATGTTCTCCCTTCACTCTTTTAACTGTTTCCTTTGCTGTGAAGAAGTTTTTTAGCATGAGGAAATCACACTTATCTCATTTTGCTTTTGTTTAGTTTTGTGCTTTGGGAGTCATATCCAAAGAAATCCTCGCCCAGTCCAATGTCAAGAAGTATTTCCTTTATGTTTTCTTCTAGTAGCTTTTTATATATATATAAATAGAGTTGAGGCCTCACTATGATGCCCAGGATGGTCCTGAACTCCCTGGGCTCAAGTGATCTTCCTACCTCAGCCTCCCAAAGTGCTGTAATTACAGGCATGAGCCACCATGCCAGGCCTCTTTTAGTAGTTTTATAATTTCAGGTCTTATGTTTAAGTCTTCAATCCATTTTGAGTTGATTTTTTTATACAGTGTAAGATTCAGTCTCATTCTTCTGCATGTGGATATACTGTTTTCCCAATACCATGTATTGAAAAGACTGGAATTCTAAACCACCACCAATCCCTGGTAAAATACCTGCCTCTCTAAAGGTATCTCCACTCATTATTCAAACATTTCATTGCATGAGAACTGGGATCCTTTTAGCTTCCTGAGTCAGTACATTTGGGGATGATTCTCTCTTTCTTTACAGAATCATAAAGGCCTGCGGTATACAACTGTACACTCACATCCACATACTGCATGCACATATATGCATAAGCACGTGTGCAACCCACAACTTCTATAGATACAGAATCCCCTAAAACAAATTAGAAATCAAACTAGAAATCAAAATTAGAAATGCAAATTAGAAATCAAAATTAGAAATCAAAATTAGAAATACAGCTTTCTAGGCTTAGGGGCCTCTTTGGCTTTATGAAGTATTGTTTCTTCATTGCTTTAAAGTACTGGCTCTCAAAGTTTGATCCCTGGACCAGCTGCCTCAGCATCATCTGGAAGTTTGTTAGAAATGCACGTTCTTGGACCCCAGCTCATACCTCAGTCAGAAACTCTGGAGGTGGAACCCAGAAACCTGGGTTTTAATGAGCTCTCTAGCACATTCTACTGTCCACCCAATCTTGAGAGCCGCTGGTCTACAGAAAGCACTGCAGTATCATTTTCTGAGGAACAGATAGTAAATCCTCACAATAAGCCTCAATTATAATGGACAATTCAGAATAAATGCCCTTGTATACATCCTATCCTTTGTACCCTAGACTTCCACTCTGCCTTCTCTTTCTTCCAAAGAGTAAATGTGTTTTTGTCTGCTTTTAGGCCTAGACAAACTGAAGGGCAATACATCCTTTGTGAACATGGACCTCTCTCTGGTGGTAGAGTGCATGGACCACGCTCTAACAAGTCTTTTCCCTAAGACTCACTATGCTGCTGGAAAAGATGCCAAAATTTTCTGGATACCTCTGTCTCACATGCCAGCAGTCTTGCAAGACTTTTTATTGTTGAAACAGAAAGCAGAGCTGGCTAATCCCAAGGCAGTGTGATTCAGCTGAGGACAAATGCCTGCTCCAGGCTATGAGATTGGCTGATTTCAAGAGCACATCTCCTTTTCTCCCTACCTGCTCCAACCTGGACTCGTTTAGATTGTGCTTGTTTGGATTACAAAATGGACTCCCGCCATTGCTGGTGGTGTCCCAGAGTCCCTGCTCAAGTTTTCTCTGAAAAGAAGAACTGGAATAGTACATCACATAGGCAAGTCCTGCCCTGTATTTAGGCTTTGCCTGCTTGGTATGACATAAGGGAAATGGAAAGACTTGCCCATTCAAAATGATCTTCATCATGGCCTGCCCCGTGCTTATGGTCCCAGCATTTAGAGTAACTTGTGGATGTTGAATATCATCTCTTATCTAAATATTAAAGATGAGTCAAACATTTTCATGAGTGGATAGATATGTTCCATTATCTTGCTGAAAATGACTCTGAAGGACTGAAGCTCAGTCCTGATAAGCTTTGAAAGGGACAGGAAAACAAAGTGTTATCAAGCATTGTGTGACACTGGCATAAGCTAAGGGCAGCAGTACACTAGATAGAACTGCAAAGAGAAGGAAAGAAAAATATGGGAAAAGGAATAAGAGGACTGTAAAGAAGAATACATACTTAAAATATATGTGCATTTGTTACATGTATTTTATATATAATTTATAATATATACAAATTATATAATATATATTATACATATAAAAATTACACATATAATTATATGTGTAATTTATATATACATATACCTATATATATTCACATATACGGAGAGAGACTCCCCTACACTCAGACAAGCCTTCCTAGAGGGAGCTATGGAGGATGAACATCCTATTCAGGCCACTAAGAACACTGATGCGTACAGTTTTCTGGTGGAAAAATATCATGACATAGTAACTAATCATTCCAAAAGAAGAAAAATGTAGGCCAATTGGTTTATTCTGGTGATTGTAAAAGTAACAAGACCCAGACTATGTGGCACAACTTATACCTGAGAGGGCTGGAAATCTTCCATTTGAGATGTCTTTCAAGCCACATGAAGATATAAAGCTAAATAAAAAGGCTCTCTTTAGCCTACAGTTACAGTGGGATTTCATCTGCATCTTGCTTGTATCCATGGTTCTAAACTGACCCTGGGCCCACACCCCATCTAAAAGAGTTCCCTAGATAGATGTTTGTCAATTCCAGCAGCCAGAACCACTTGCAAAGCTTTATAGAACATTTATAAGAAGAAGCCTGCAGTGGCACAGTGCAACATTTTTTGCATAATAACATGGCCTAAAAGAGCTAGAGAAATGAGCTAATGAACATGTGCAAGTGTGCACACACCCACAGACACACACATGCGTATACACACCTGCTAACATATTGCAAAGAAAGTTTGCCTGTAATCCCAGCAAGCCAAGGCAGAAGGATTGCTTGAGCCCAGGAGTTCAAAACCAGCCTGGGTAATATAATGAGATCTTGTCTCTACAAAAAATAAAAAGTTAGCTGGGCATGGTAGCATGCATTGGTAGTCTCAGCTACTTCAGAGGCTGAGGTGGGAGGATCACTTGAGCCAGGAGGCTGAGGCTGCACTGAGCTGTGATCATGCCACTGCACTCCAGCCTCAAAGACAGAGCAAGACCTTGTCTCAAACTTAAGAAAATATATTTAGGCCAGGCGCGGTGGCTCAAGCCTGTAATCCCAGCACTTTGGGAGGCCGAGGCGGGTGGATCACGAGGTCAAGAGAGCGAGACCATCCTGGTCAACATGGTGAAACCCCGTCTCTACTAAAAATACAAAAAATTAGCTGGGCATGGTGGCGCGGGCCTATGATCCCAGCTACTCAGGAGGCTGAGGCAGGAGAATTGCCTGAACCCAGGAGGCGGAGGTTGCGGTGAGGCCTGAGTAACAAGAGTGAAACTCCATCTCAAAAAAAAAAAAAAAAAAAAAAAAGAAAATATATTTAACATCTGCTGCTTGAAATCATGTCCATTTGAAGGTATTAATCATTCTATTCATTTTTAATCACCTTTCCACAAATATCTGCTTATGAGGTAATTTTTTCCTTTCAAGTTTACAAAATATTGGTGACTGAAAAATCAAATTACAAATGGTGTCAATCCACTTGGACATACATTTCCATAATTCTGAAGCAGGATATACTCATCCTTTTTGCATCAAAATGAAAAACAATTCACTGCTTCACTTGACTAGCCTTAAAAAAATTAAAATAAAAAAAACTAAAATTAAAAAAAAAAAAAGAAAAACAATTACAGCAAGAATGAGATGGAAGAATTCTCAGGCAAAGTTAGCTAACCTGCCTGCCTGGGAAGTCATCCCCATCTTGGACCCAGTGCCAGAGACAGCCACATGTAGATATCTGGTTTCTTCTTGCTGCAGTTAACCACCCCACAGTCGGCCCTTGGAGGTGAAGTTCACCAGTGTTGTTTGCTGGGGCCCCTCCTTGCCTTGAATTCACATCTTGGCTTCATTTCACTGCTTTAGAATTCTCGACAAGCTGCTCCCTGACTTTCCAGACGTCCTAGGGCTGCCAAGACGTTTAGAATCTGAAGGAACTTTCTTTGCCTAACTTCCAACCACCTCAGCCATGTTCTTGGGCCTCTCTAATTGTGTTACTTCCTTTGTTTTGCCTAGACCTGAATTCTTTTTCCATTCCTTCCAGTAGCTGCAATTTGGTAACTCCTTGTTCCATTCCACCAAAAAATTCTCTCCTTAGGAACAAATGTCACCAAGCACAATATTATTCCAAAATAATACCAGATACATTCATGTAAGCAAATTTTAAAGGTTTTTAAAATGAGAAGGCGTGGTGCTGGGGGCATAGAGGCAGAAGTCTCTACAGAGGCACAGGACCTGTGTGGTGGGGAGAAGGGGACGGGTAAGCGTATCAGACAGTCACAGGATCGGGCATCTTTGGCATGGGTGCCTAGACTTCTCTCCATCTTACCATAATCACTTCTAATTCACTGCTCTTTTGGGAGAAACACCTATCCAATTTTTATCTGTAAATATTTGAGGAAACATATTTTGACTATGATGGACATTCTTCAAAGTACTGGCCTATAATAAGGAATGTAATAAATGCAGTTCCTTCCTTCATAGAGCCTTTTGGATATAATCCAAGGCTAAGGCCAGTACTCAGGAAGCCTTAGAGGGCCTTCTCCAGGGATGCATGGCCAAGATGAACCTTGGCCATGGTCCTCTACCACATCTAGCTTGAAGGATTTTTTCTCAGTTTGGAGAGACCAAGAGAACCTCCCAAACCCTCCCTCTGATCTGATCCAAACATCCAAGTGTGTCCTTCATCTGGACATCGACAATACATCCTAATCTGGAGTTGTTATCTTACCCACCCCACAGGATGTTTTCCCAGTCCAGCACCAACTATTGTCAATTTCATCTCCATAGTGATCTGGAGTCTGTCTACTTCTCTTCACCTCCAGTGCGATCACCTGTTCAAGCTGCCATCAGCTCTTGTTTCTACTACAGCATCTCCACCCATGTACCATCAGTGATTTCTCCTCATTGCAGTCAGTATTATTCAAAATTAAAATCCAATCATTCTACTGTTTCTGTCACTGCTTTCTTAAAATCTTCAACGTGTTCCCTTTGCACTTTGGCTGAAAACTAAAATGTATGACGTGAGCCCAACTGCCCCACACTCCTCATTAGCCTCATTTTATAGCACTATTCTCTGCCCTTGGCCCCCTCAGCACCTTTCCCACGCTTCTCCCTGGAAAGTTCCCTCTTACCTGGTTTTCTAGTTTCTTTGTCCTACAGATCTCAACCCACATCCTCAGGGAAGCCCATGCAATTTCAAATTCTGACCACCATCTGTTTATCCAGGTAGGTTCCCATCTGGTACACTCTCACTGCGCCCTGTAATTTGCTTCAGGAATCTCATCACAGTCCGTAATTATATATGCATATGGTTAGTTAATATTGGTCTCCTGAATCATATGGTAAGTTCCATGAAATCAGGAATAATGATGCTTTGCTTATCTTTGTATTCCCTTACCTAGGACATCACTGGCACACAGATCAATGTTCAATAGACATTTGTTGAAGGAACACAAAAATTTGTCTATATTAGTCTTTCTAACACAAGGGTCAATTTATTACTCAAGATCAAGCTGGGGCCGGGCGCGGTGGCTCAGGCCTGTAATCCCAGCACTTTGGGAGGCCGAGGCGGGTGGATCACGAGGTCAAGAGATTGAGACCATCCTGGTCAACATGGTGAAACCTCGTCTCTACTAAAAATACAAAAAATTAGCTGGGCATGGTGGTGCGTGCCTGTAATCCCAGCTACTCAGGAGACTGAGGCAGGAGAATTGCCTGAACCTGGGAGGCGGAGGTTGCGGTGAGCCGAGATTGCACCATTGCACTCCAGCCTGGGTAACAAGAGCAAAACTCCATCTCAAAAAAAAAAAAAAGATCAAGCTGGTCAGGTGCAGTGGCTCATGCCTGTAATCCCAATACTTTAGGGGGGCCAAGGCAGGAGGATCACTTCCAAACAAACCTGAACAACACAGAAAGGCCCTGTCAACAAAAACAAATTTTAAAAAAGAAAAATTAGCTGGGGATGGGCATGTGCCTGTAGTCCTAGCTACTCGGGAGTCTGAGACAAGAGGATGGCTCCAGCCCAGGAGTTCGAGGCTGCAATGAGCTATGAATGCACCACTATTCTCCAGCCTGGGCAGCAGAGCAAGACCCTGTCTCTAAAACAAGTAAGTTTTTTCAAAAATATCAAGCTTGCCCATCCTGTTAGTTATGCTGTCAGTATGTCAGTCAAAGTCTCATAACTTCCCTGAGCCTTTCAGATCTTCCTGAAGGTTTCCCAGCTCTGGCTCTGCTCTCAGCCTCCCCCGAGACTGAGCAGTGTTACTGTAAGGATTTCACACCACCTATTGCAAAGGAGCCCGCCTCCATGCCAAGCCAAACTGGGCCCAGAGGAACAGAATAAAAAGAACATGCGGATCATTGAGTCCACTTCTCTGCTTACAGGCAGGGCATGTCTAAGCTATCCAGCCTGAAGAGAATCTCTTCTAGTTAAAATCTCTCCAGAAACCCTGTAACTTCTGTTTTCTTAGCGTTGACCAATACTTAATGACCAATATTTCACCCAGACCAATAGTTAATGAGAAAAATTCCCAGGAAACTTCTTTAAAAAATGATCAATTTGGCTCTTCTGCACACTATTAATCCCAGTAGTTCTCAGGAACACAAGAGATCACAGTCCCATCAATGTGGAAAAAACAGCTAAACATTCTCAAAATGAAAAACACTTTTACATTTATGACAACTCAATTTAAACCATAGATTACAGGACAAAGCTGACCAAGACTTTTGTGAGTCTTTGCAGGTTGAAAAATAAAATAATTTGACATTCCTA